CCCACAACACCTTTTTTTTTTTTTTTTTTTTTAAAGCTTTTTCCCAGAGGACATGTGTGCTCACCAGCTGTAAACAAAGAAAGACAGTGGGAGGGAAAGTGATGAATCAACCCCCCTCCCCCCCAAGGGATAGCCACACAGCAATCCCATCTCCTCCATTCTCCTGGAATTTTGGACACTCATGCACGTGTGCCCAGTATGATTTTCAAGCTACTGAAACTGGGACTCAAACTGTAGTCAGCCATGTGGGAGTCCAGTGCTGTAACCACTATACCATCTGCTGGCCCCCTTAGAACTCTTTTTTCAGGAAGTATCTTCAAATAGACCATAGAACTCAGATAAATAAATTAGAGTAGATCATTTCTATCAGAAAATGGGGATAGGGCCAGTTTCACAGCTCAGCAGTAAAGAGACCTGGATCCCAAATGACTGGCTGTGGTTCAAATACTGACCCTGGCAGCTTGTGCAAACAGGCATGGTATGTCTGCATGCATGCACAAAATCCCGACAGCTATGGAGGGAAAAGTACTGCAGCATGGCTATACTCACTGCAGGGTGCTTTCTCTCTTTCCTATGAGCATACGCACCCTCTGGCAATAAAAAAAAAAAAAAAAAATACAAGACCCCCCCCCCCACGCACATCCCCCGGCAGCTTGAAATCATGCCAGCTACATGTGCATGTGTGCTCAAAATCCAGAGAGGAGAGGAAGTGTGGCATGGCCATTCCCTCGGGGAATGCACGCTCACACACTTGGCATGAGTTTCAAGCCTCCAGGTCTGGGACTCAAACCATGGTTGACCATGTGGGAGTCCAGCAATGTAACCATCACACCATCTGCTGGTCCCTAGATCAACAATATTAATAACAGCTAATACTACTTAGTATGTGCTAGATACTTTTTTTTTATTTTAGATTTTAAAAGAGTTAATTATTTATTATAAATAGTAGTATTCTATTTGAGCAGAGAGAGAAACAGAGAGAAAGAGTGGGAAAGCAAGCCACCAGATCCAGGACTCAAACTGCAGTCAACCATGTGGGAGTCCAGTGACTTAACCACCATGCCATCTGCCAGCACCCACAAATAATTTTTTTGTTTTAAGAGAAAGATTTTTGCTATAGGGTGTGTGCACTCACCAGAGAAAGACAGAGACACAGAAAGCAAGGAATCACCTCCCTCCAAGGGGGATGGCCATACCACAATCCCCTCTTCTTTTGGGATCTTGGACATGCATGCACATGTGACCGATGTGAGTTTCAAGCCATCAGGTACGGGACTCGAACCACAGTCGACTACATGGTAGTGTAGTGATGTAACCATTATACCATCTGCTGGTCCCTGATTTTATTTTTTATTACCAATTTGCTATGGGTCATGTGCACTCACTAGAGAGACAGAGAGAGAGAGAAAGAGAGAGAAAGTGAGAAAGCAGGCCATCAAGTCTGGGCCTGGAAAACAGTTGACCATGTGGGAGTCCAGCGCTTTAACCACCATGCTACCTGCTGGCCACAGGGCTAGGTACCTTCCTTTTTCTTTCTTCCTTCCTCCCTTCCTTTCTTTCTTTTTAAACATTTATTTATTTATTTATCTGTTTACTTGTGATTTTCAACCCTCTGGATCTAGGACTTGAACTACGGTCAGTCACATGGGATTCTAGCGCCTTGAGCACCATGCCACCTGTAGGCCCTGGGACCTTTCTAAGAACTTTACATATATTATGTTGAATTTAGATTTTTCAGTTTGGTAGGTTAATATGCCAGTAAACCAAGTGCTGTTAGGGGAAGCAATTCCTACCACCATGGAAATTCTCTGAAGTGTCACAGGTAAAACTGCAATAATATATTGAGTATGGACCATATGTATGAGACACATTTAGGTAGGTCAATGGATGTAAGGCCTTTAAGCCTCTCAGAAACAAGGAACTACTGAATTCAGGAACTACAGTAGCAGCAGTACAGGGGCAAATGACAGAGGGCACGGGGCAGTACGTGGTGGCAACAAGGAGAGGTTGTGGGTGGAGTGATCAGAAGGTACTGCTCCATGGGGCCAGCAGGAGGCATGGTAGTTAAGGGCGCTGGCCTCCCACATAGGCAACCGTGGTTCAAGTCCTAGATCTGGCAGCTTGCTTTCTCACTTTCTCTCTTACTCTGGTCAAATTAAAATAAATAGCTAACTAAATAAAGTTAAATAAACTAATATTAAAAAAAAAAAGACAAGTTAAAAAAAATTTTTGAGACATTTTTGTGCATGTGCGCTCACCAGAGAGACAGAGACAAAGAGGCAGAGAGCAACAGAGAGAGAAACAGAGAGACAGAAAGCAAGAAATCACCCCCCTTGGGGGGATGACCACTCTGCAATCCCTTCTCCTCATTCTCCTCTTTAGACCTTGGGCACGCATGCACACACACCTAGCACGAATCTTAAACTGCCGGGCCAGGGCTCAAACCATGGTCGGCTATGTGGGAGTCCAGCAACATAACCATTATGCCATCTGCTGGCCCCAACTCTCATGCTGCTTGCTCATACAGACAAACCAGAAAGTTCGCTGAAAATTTTGAATTAAAGTATGAATTTATTTCAGTACAAAAAGTTTGAAATCCGCGCATAGTACTCACATCATACACATTTACTGAATGTTTTGAAGACCCCTTGGCATATGTGAGTAGAGATCTTCATGATCACTGCCAGTCAGAAAAATAGGCTTGGAACTGGAGGAATGTTCTTACCACCCAAATGTCAGTGGCAGAAAGAAATGAGAACAATCTGCTCTCATTTGGATAGAGCAGACCGCCAGAGGGTTCCACAAAGATTTCCAGATGACTACTGAGCCCTACCTATGATTATATATCATGTATCACATAGATACATAGATACACACACATATATATGTATCTATGTGATACGGCATCAAGAGCCCTAAGCTTTTCCCCCATAGATCAATAACTCTGGCTAAGTAATATGAAACCTTTTAAAGTTATCAGAAGGGGGGCCAGCAGGTGGCACGGTGGTTAAGGGTGCTGGACTCCCACGTGGTCGATCATGGTTCGGGTCTCGGACCTGGCAACTTGCTTTCTCACTCCTCTCCTGTCACACCCCTCTATCCTTCTCTGGTCAAATTAAAATAAATAAATAATAAATAAAGTTAAGTAAAAATAATTCTGAAAATAAAATGTATCGGAAGGGTGTTGCCCAACTCCATTGGAAATGCTGAAGTAACATCTCTAGGGAAAATAATAGCAAGCCAACTTTAAGTACCCAGGATACACCAATGAGAAAGGTAGCGGTCTCATGTATTTTGCTACATTAACACAACATATCTAGGCTGCTATTTTGAACTATAACATCAACTAAAACATAACACAAAATATCTCCAAAAAGTGTGCTAATGTAAGACTAAACACTGAAATTTTTTTTTTTTTTTTTGAGATTTTTTTGCTTTGGGCACATGTGCGGCACATGTGCTTGCCAGAAAGACACAGAGACAGAGAGACAGAAAGTCAGAAATTGCCCCCCAGGGAGGATGGCCATGCTGCAATCCCTTCTCTATTCTCCTCTCGGGATCTTGGGCACACATGTACACGCACCTGGCATGAGTTTAAGCCACCAGGTCCGGCACTCGAACCATGGTCGACTACATGGGACTTCAGTAACAAAGCCATTATGCCAACTGCTGGTCCCAAGACTAAACACTAAAATCTAAAGCAACTAGAGTCAGGGCAAACTCTAAACTGTAAAAATACCAATGAGTAACTCAGTCATTCGTGGACATTATTCAGTTGTCTGATTATATCACACAGTGATTCTTCTTTCTGGTACTCAATGACTCTGCATCTCTTTTTCCTAGGTGCCTCTAACTATAATTTCTTTCTTTAAAATTTCGCTGCAGAATGCATGCACTTACTAGAGAGACACGAGGAAAGAGGGAAAGTGAGAAAGCATCCCCCAAGGAGAATGGTTATGCTGCAATCCCTTCTCCATCTCTCTCTCCCCTCAGGGTTCTGAGTATACATGCACATGTGCTTGGCATGTTGTTCAAGCTACTAGGTCCAGGACTCAAAC